TTACAGACCAATATCTCTCATGAATATAGATGCAAAAATTCTCAGCAAAATTCTAGCCAGTAGAATTCAGCATCATATCAAAAAATAATATACCACTACCAAGTAGGATTCATACCAGGTATGCAAGGTTGGTTCAACATTAGACAATCAATCCACGTAATCCACCACATAAATAAAATAAAAGAATCACATGATCATCTCAATTGGTGCAGAAAAGGCATTTGACAAAGTCCAATACCCATTCCTGATAAAAACTCTCAATAAAATAGGTATAGAAGGCAAATTCCTCAACATAATAAAGGGCAGCTATGCCAAACCAACAGCCAACATCATTCTTAATGGAGAGAGGCTGAAAACATTCCCCTTGAGAACAGGAACAAGACAAGAAAGTCCTTTATCACCACTCCTATTTAACATTGTGCTGGAATTCCTAGCCAGAGTGAAAAAGCAAGAAAAAGAAGTAAAGGGCATCCAAATTGGTAATGAAGAACTTAAACTGTCCCTATTTGCAGATGATATGATACTGTATATAGAAAACTCAAAAGACTCCACAAGAAAATTACTGGAACTAATAGAAAGATTCAGCAGAGTAACAGGATACAAGATAAACATACAAAAATCTACTGGATTCCTATACAACAATAAAGAGAACAATGAAAAAGAAATTATGAAAACAACATCATTTATAATAACCTCTAAAAAAAAATACTTAGGAATAAATCTAACTAGCAATGTAAAAGACCTATACAAAGACAACTACAAAACACTACTGCAAGAAACCAAAAAAGAGCTACATAAATGGAAAAACATACCATGCTCATGGATAGGTAGACTCAACATTGTCAAAATGACAATTCTACCCTAAGCAATCTACAAAAACAATGCAATCCCAATCCAAATACCGACAACATTCTTTAAAGAGATGGAAAAAACAATCATTAACTTTATAGAGAAAGGGAAGAGGCCTCGGATAAGTAAAGCACTATTGAAGAAGAAGAATAAAGTAGGAGGACTCACACTACCTGATCTCAGAACCTACTATACAGCTACAGTAGTCAAAACAGCCTGGTACTTGTACAACGACAGATACATTGACCAATGGAACAGAATCGAGAACCCAGATATAAATCCATCCACCTACGGTCACCTGATCTTGGACAAGGGCCCAAAGTCTATCAAATGGGGAAAAGACAGTCTTTTTAACAAATGGTGCTGGCAAAACTGGATGTCCATCTGCAAAAAAATGCAACAGGACCCACACCTCACACCATACACAAAAACTAATTAAAAATGGATCAAAGACCTAAATATAAAGCCCAAAACTATAAAGATCATATAAGAAGAAATAAGATCAACAAGTTGTTGTTGTTAGGTGCCGTCAAGTCAGTTCCGACTCATAGCGACCCTATGTACCACAGAAGGAAACTCTTCCCGGTCCTGCCCCATGCTCACAATCGTTGTTATGCTTGAGCTCACTGTTGCAGTCACTGTGTCAATCCATCTTGCTGAAGGTCTTCCTGTTTTTCGCTGACCCTCTATTTTACCAAGCATGATGTCCTTCTCCAGGGACTGATTCTTCCTGACAACACGTCCAAAGTATGCAAGATGTAGTCTCATCATCCTTCCTTCTAAGGAGCATTCTGGTTGTACTTCTTCCAAGACAGATTTGTTCATTCTTTTGGCAGTCCATGGTATATTCAATATTCTTCACCAACAC